GAGAAATCTAAGATATTGATTTTTAAGATATAGACGTTTAGCTAGCGGAAGTAATCGTCCAAACCATTCGTTCTAAGCAATTATCATATTTCTGTAGGATAGTTTAGTCGCGTTTTGTGTATTGTCATGGGGGAATTTAAGCTAAAGTCTTCACCTATATCTATCCACCTGTCTATAGTAATGGCCAAAGGACAGCAAAGTCGCCTATGTCTACCTTAATCTTAGCTTTTAAGGATCAAGTGTATAGTCTTCTTATCTCTTACGTGTTATTTCTTGTTTTTGAGAAAGGATATCTGATAATCTTTCTAAGGTTTCGTAGGGATTATGAGTGATGATATAGTTCATATGATGAGAGATAGAGCACACGCTATTCACGTAATTCTGGTAATGTTGGAATGTTAAGACGCTGAATATATGTTTTGACAGATTATTCACTTTCATTTCTAACTTTCTTATATTCTTCTCTGTTTTTTGTTTTTTTGTCTTTAAAGATGATTCTTTCCCTCGACATAATATTCATACATGGTATTCTTTATCTCACACACACACATACACACACACACACACAGCAAAATTACGCACACACATCCACTTATATTCACTAATACAAATCAACCTCATTTCCCAACAGAAACAATACACACAAATGAATATAATAATGATTAAACAATAAGTACGTAAATGAATGATATGAATAAATAAACAAATGGATGATGATTAAGTAAGTGATTGAATAGATAATAAATAAGGAGATGAATTAGACAGATGCATGAATGATTAAATATAAATACAAACAAACACATAAACGTATAAATAAACAAGCAAGCCAATGGACAACCAACTGCATAAACGTATAAATAAACAAACAAACTAGTGAACAACCAAACAACCAACCAACCAAACAACAGCATTCGAATAAAAAAAAAGATAATGCAATTGCCTCTTTTCGATCAAACAGCGAAGCCAACAAGAGGCTCCAGGACACCAACGACAGCATGAGGGACGCGATGGAGTTCGAGTGGCGTCGATCTCCTCTGGGCTCGAGGTGTTCCAGCAACAGGAGTTCTTTGAGGCAGCCGAAGGAGAGGAGGCGGAGCAAGAGGTGGGTTGGGGACGAGGGTTTAAGTCATGGGGTTCTTGAGGTACTGTTGTGTGTGTTCTGTGGATAAAGAGGGGGTAAGGTAGTTGCGTGAGAAGGGCCTAAGTATTTGTGTGTTCTAGGGATAAGGAAGAGGATAAGGATAAGGAAGGAGGGATATACTGAGTAGGGGGGACCTAAGGTGTTGCTGTGTGGTCTGGGGATAAGGAAGAGGAAAAGGATAAGGAAAGACGAATATATTGCGTGGGTGGAAGCTAAGGTGTTGCTGTGTGGGGCCTAATGTGTTTGTGTGTGGAGGGAGAAATATATTGCGTTGGTAGAACCTAAGGTGAAATATTTCTAGTGCTGTGTATGTTCTACAATGGGAATAAGAGAGATAAGGTAAAGGAGATAAGTGTGAATGGGGCTTAAGGTGTTGTGTGTGAAGGGCTAGCTATATTGCGTAGATAGAACCTAAGGTGCTGTGTGTTCTGAGAATAAGAAATCGTGGGGATAGAATCTAATGTGTTGTTGTGTTGAGATGGAAATCTTATGTGGATAAAACTTAATGAACTGTGTTGTTGAGTTGAGAACTGAACATATATGGCTAGAACTTAAGGTGTTGAGTGTTCTAGGGATAAGAAATAGTGTGGGTGGAACCTAAGGCGTGTAGAGGCACTGACATATCATGCATGGGAGATGGTCTAGGGACAGGGGATCGTGTAGATGGAAGCTTGTGTGTAGAGGGGCTTGGAATGTCGTCTGGACTGAATTTTGTAGAGAGTAGAGATGTAGAGAGACCAACATAATGTGTGGAAAGCCCTTGTACGAACGGAGGTAAGCTGTAGGTAAGATACATATAAAAAATTAAATGTGTTGCTTTGAATGACTGAAATATACTGTGTAGATGGATTCGGATATGGTGTACAGTGGGATTACGATCTGTTGCTTAATAGGATGGAATTATAATAGAATGAAAGAATTGCAAAGTCGAGATAGCAACAGGTTCTAACCCGACGAACAGAAGACGATCGCAACACCTTTGGAAATTCTGAAATCATAACTAACAGAAAAAAGCTTCCCAAATACTTATAATTTAGGGGACAGAAAAAGACGTTAATAATCTGCATTCATAATTACCATTTTTTTTCTTTTAATTTAGTGCTCTTTAATCCCAAATTCTACCTCCCAGGTCGTTCTCCATCTCTTCCTACGACTCCAGGTGAGATTCTGACTCCTTGTATAGTCACGGACAAAAGCAGTGTCATGGATAAAGTTTCAAAACCCACCTAAGAACAAGAAGACGAAAAGAAGAAGAAGAAAAGAAAAAAGCAATTATTATTTGGGTGTTCGAGGCGGAATTCGAACCTTGTGTCGCGGGACTTTTGACCGTGACTGTACATGTTGCTTGGAATGCTCTTT